CATAAGCTGGAATGTCACTAAGTAATTTATCCTACTTCTACTCTACTACATTTCATAGGGAAACATTGTGCTTTTTATTTACTTTGAAGACCAAACTTCTGTGTATAAAAATATGACCAGCTTACAAAATATAACGTACTTCTAATACTGTAAGCACATTTTTCTGCTAACACTTTTCGCATTTCTACTCAAAAGGTCCAGTGTATAATATTCATAGACACGTTTTTAGTGTATAATCACCTGAAAATAAGAATCATTGTGTTTTCGTTAACTTTACAATGAGCTGTTTTTATCTAAAGAGGGAGCTGGTCCTCTTCTACAGAGGCCGCCATGTTGAACCAGCATGCTTTTACAGTAGTCCAGAAAGGACAATCCAAACACTGGCTTTAGATAGGGGTTTTTTCAAGTTTCAGGACAACCTTAGTTTCTCCTACATCAAAGTCAACTTCAAAGTGGGCCACTCCTCCCTGGTTAAACATCACCAGGGGTGCACGCGCTGTGTCCGCCATTTTTGTGGCTTCTTCTTGGATGCGTTTCTATAGAATCCCTCCCCCTCACACCTTGCATGCTGTTATTGGCTTGGGGCTAAACACCCAATCCCCAAAAGATGACGGCCAGACTTTCTGAACACAGAAAAATAACAAGATACAGACAGAGGACAGGGTAGATACAGAAACCACTTCTATAAAGGATGAGTGAGAGGGATTATTTTCTTTAAGGGATTATTATTTCAGTCTATACATTGTTTTTATCCCACTCATTCTGCCTTAGTAAAAGACATCAATACGTTTCCACCACTGTACCCCAGTTGAGAACATGACACTAGTGAACGATAATGATCAGAATTCTCTGTAATGGTATATGTGACCGTATCTTGTGATATAGACATATAACAGTAATATAATACTTTATCTGGGAAGCCAATTGAGTAACTCTTCATGGAAATAATAACAAGACAGGAATATAAAAGCAAAATAATAATAAAATAAAACTTGCTTGTTGATTTGCAACATTGCTCACAATGGCATAATACTAGAACTATCGAAGAGAGAGTTATCACAGTATAAACAGTATAGCAAATGTATATATCACCCAGTCCTTACACATTACCACATTTACACAGTCTCTATACAGTATATGAGCGCATGCATCAGTGCAGATTTGACACTCCATGAAAACAGGACACATCACTACCAAGAGCCAGGCTCTGCAGATGAGATAGAAGGAGCAAAAGCAGACAGACACGCAGAGATCTGGGTCTGATTAGCAGACTAACCGGAAAGCAGAGTAGAATTAACAGAACAGACACAGGGACAGACATACGGTCCATTATTGAGGAGAGTGCGGCATGAAGAGAGAGCAAGCAGATAAAAAGAGCAACAGCAGAGAGGATGATGATGAGAGGACGGACAGACAGGCGTCACATAAAGCCTCTGATCTGCCCGTACCTGAGTGCAGGTTTATCCTGAATGCGGTCAACACTGCGGAACCATCTTTGAAAGGACAGACAGATACACACAGGTTAGTGTTAGGTTAGGTCAGGAAAGGTGAAATACAAAGTACTGTGGCATTCTGACTGACTGCAAAACACATCTAAGAGTCTCACTTGTAAAACAATGCCCAGGGCACTACTTACACGAATCAATGCAGAGAAAATAAACATCTTAAGAGTACAGCAGAGCGTTTTATCACTTGTGCCAATCAGACAGGGGCTTTCATCTGCAGCACAGCATCTACAAGCAGTGGGTATAACCAGAAACTTATGCAATGGATTGATTCAATAACAAAGCAAATTGTTTTTCACTATGACTCAAAGCAGGCTGTGTGGGTGTGTACTGTGAAAAAAGCCCCAATAACTGCTCTCGTGTTGCTCTTCCATCAGGTTGGCACTTAGCTAGACCGCCCTGCTTACCCCTCTCAAACAGATACACCAGTTTTTTTTGCCTCGCACTTTAACAAACCCAGACAAACTAACCACAGCTCGATGGATGATGACAACCTAAATATTTTCTCAAGGGAAGCGATACAAACATGTCACAGATTGCCCTACAACTCTCCTGTAGGCAGGAGTTGAGTGTAGATGTATATGAATTATTGATGTACTGTTTTAATGTAATGAGGCACACTGAAAGTCAACCACTACAGCATCAGGCAAGCTGAGTGCCTGTCTTGATTATTAGGGTGCATTAGGCAAATGTGGCAGGCACTCACATATGAAATGGTAAAGCATTAGATTGAAATATTAAATGTAATACTAAAACATGAGTATAATGAGTTTCTGATAGTGAAGCAGGCGTGGTGCATACCATGATACAGTGAAACCACGACGTCCTGAGCTCGTACCAGGCTTAGGTCTTCTATGACAAGACATCCTCTCTATCTCTCTAACAACATTTCCTGTCGAGCCAGCTAACTATCTGCAAAAAGGAAAAATTCATAAACTACTCCAGTCAAAAAAGCCAGAGTGAATACATGAGGCATAACACATATTGATTGTTGAATCACATTTGCTAAGATTTAAAAACTCAGTTTCAAAGTTTAAGATCAATTTTCAAAATGGTACTGTAAAATTATACCAAATAACTGATATTAATATAATATAATATAATCTCATATGAATCATGATAAGTAAACAGTCTTTTTAGTAAGTGGTGTAATTGAAGGGTGCGTAGTGTTTTTGTGTTTGCATCCGGCTTGTGTTGTCATGAAGAATACACATTTCCTTTCTTATCACCACTTCCTGACAATCCCCGGGAAGCTTGAACAGTGCGAAAAATACCACAAACTTAGAGGGGAATAATGTATTATCGTCATAAAACACAACATTACACACTAAAAATACCATGTTTATATATAACACTACCATGATATCATCCATAGTCTGTTGAGGAAGGCATCATTAAAGAAAAAAGTACTGGTCACCACAGATTAAAGACACAGAAAGTCGGTTTCTTGCGTGTGTTGGTGCAATTCTGCTGTTCCACTTGGACATTGAGGAACGAGAGGGAGCATGGTACAAAATCGAGGTTAGTTCATAATGTGCACACCGAGAGATATTGTTTACCTTTTTTATACCTTAAAGGGTCTTATCTCGTCTCTCTGTCCTGTTGATACTTTCTGTAGCCAGGGCTGTCTCCCTGCGTCACTATCTGTCCTGACCTTTCTGACTTATGCAAATTAGCAACTTTCTCTCTTCTCCTCCAACCTCACGTTTTTTGGGAACGTTCCCACAGGAAGAACGGTCTCTCTCAGAGGCTCCATTGTTTCTAATATCGCTACATGACCAAATGTGTTTTATTTCCCTGCACTGACAAACCTTAAACTGACTTTTAATCACGTACACTCCATGAACGCTTGTGTTATATTTATGACACTTTGGGAACAATCGGGCTAGGGTTTACTATGGTAAAGATTACATGAGACAAAAATATTCAAACTTAAGAGGAAATAAAACAAGTTTATATTATACATCAAGAATAAGAATTAACCATGATTACAAATACATGTGCAATACAAATGTTCAAACATGTATAATCTCCATTACACTTGCATGATATGAAATCTTTGGCCTGGTTGTTTGTTTTTGATATGATTCATGTGAGAATGAGAGGGTAAAAGTATCCTTGTTTATCTATTATCTGTTGCCTTAAAATCAGAGTAGGCAACTTTAATTTAGTTGAAATCAAACCAAGAGGAATTATTGTCAAGTTTGTGCAATACTATGTCAAGGACATGGTTTTCAAAGTGAAGAAAAGGCTCAAGAGATCTACACCAAAGAGGCACATTCTGGAGACTCTAACGACCAAGCAGAGGAAAATAGTTGGACTGCAGCCATTTGGACCCGTCTACCTGCTTACAAACTCATACCAACGATGTGTTATCGGTAAACTTTCTGACGCCAGTAAGTTGTGCTTCTCCTAGTTTGGATCACTCGATTACATTTCTTTCTATCTACTGCTTGTTGACTTAGATCTTGATGTAGTTGTTTTTGGGCCTTCTTTGTTTGCAGTGGACACTGAATAGATTATTTTGTCTTTCTATTTCTAAACTTATGGATGTTGGGATCTTAGAATGAACTTAAATCATGTTAACATTATACATCAGTCACTTGACACATACACTAGACATCTCCATCACACTTATAGACATATAAACTGTGATGGAAATGATGAAAACTCTGAAGTGTACTATAAGACAAATATAGTTCCTAAAGATCCTCATTTTCTATAAACAGCTCACATGCATAAAACATAATTTAATGCCCTACGAGAGTGTTTGTTTTCCCTCATCTAAGTGTTTCCTGGCCCTGTAAAAGCCAGGCAAATAGGTCAAGGCAGAGGGGAGTCGTGTGTTTTAAATTTAGACCAGAACATTTTATCTTAATCTAAAAAGAAAAACAACACACACAAAAAAAATCTGGGTTGCTTTCCATGTCTTATTTAGTATCATACCTCCATCAAAGGGGGTAATACAATTACAAGGCCTGTTGCCATAGCAACTCCTTGGCTCTGTTTCACCTCTGACTGGAAGATGACTTCATCGGCTGAACTGCAGATAGCAGAGTGAAATCACCTTAAATGGAAGCAAATTCCTTAAAATATGACTAATTACTATTGGGACTACTTTACAGGGGAGTCTTTGATAAGAATTATTGCATGCCCAATTAAAAGCAGTGTTTAGGGGTTTTAGGTTCAGACAACCATCATCCAAACTGTATATAATGTCACAGTGCATCTGGTGTACGTCCGGTAGTAGGATGCCAGTCATGACTGTAAATCAGTGTTTGGGCAGCTGTGAACGAGGCAATACACTGAAAACACACATATACCAAGGTGAGGACAGACCACTTCCTCTTCTTCCTTTGTTTCCTCTTTTACATGCGGCTGAAGGTCTGTCCTGATAAGAGCCTTTTCAGAACGAGAACAGTCCATTAACCTACAGCTCACTCGAGATAAACAGGCACGTGTCTTTTTTAACAACTCGTTGATTAACAGATTGACAAGTGTGGAATTTACAAATGGAAAAGTCTGATTGAGATTTCATTATGTTCGCTCACACTGAGATTCAACATTAGTTCTGATGGACAAAATTAGCTCTATTTTTCATATCCCTTAATCGTCTGTCAGGGATCCTGTGTTATCAGTGCTACTGGGTGATGTCATCCTGCTGTTAGGTAGACAGATGTACGGTTATGATACAGGTGTGCTATTATACATGTTAAGATATCAAATGACCTCTAGGAAATCATATATTCAATTGCATTTCTAGCTTGGCAAAGAACACTAAGTATAAAACGAAAAAACATTCTCCTCTCTGAGGGTTTTTAGTTTTCTTTAAGTGATTTCAGAACTTGGTTACGTAATTTAAGTGGCTTTTCATATAGTAATCAGGACCACTTAAAGTGGATAATAAAAACATGAAATGGGATTACGTCCTTATAGCAAAGATGATAGAATCAATATCTTCTATAACTAAACCTTAAATTATAAAGTTCTAAGATGCACCTAAAATATTACAGCATAATGATGCTTAAAATGGACCTTTGGACTTATTCTATATTTGATCGTCGGTTAAGATCAGTGATTCTATAAAATAAAAGAAAAAAGAAAAGAAAAGCTGTTAAATTTCAGGAGTACGCAGCACTGCTCTTATCAGGAGAGCACCAGACTTTTCCAATGCAGGGGACAAGCAGGGGTCAAAAGATAGTGAGCTCCATGCACTTCCAGTATCTTAAAGGATCCTCCGTGTGTGGTTTGCTTTTCATTTCATAGCTTCCCAGCTTGCACGTTTCTGACATGGCACAATTACTTAAGACTACAGATAGCAGACGAGTTTACCAACTGCACATTTGAGTTCAGAGTTTAAAATGTCAACGAGAGGGTAAAACAAGTTCGAATGAGGAATTCTGCTAGTGTGACATGGAGTATTAATAAAATCAGCGTGTTCGCACCAAGACCGTGTTAGCCAGACATTTCAGTGCCACCAGTTTATTACTGAACATCACACTAATCTTTTTTCTTAGAAATGGTGATAACAATTAGTTTCTGGATTCATGCATTGTTAATTAGAACTTGTTAGTGTGCCTCACATTGTGGTGGAGCAATCAGTCTGTCACTACAAAAAGAGGCCTTTCCATTTGTCCACACTTTCTATTTAGCTGTAGATGTATAACTAACGTTTCAACTAATTGCAAGAATGCAACCACTAATATCCACTACAGAAATGTCGTCTATACAATGGGAGCTATGGGAGACACAATGCCGAACTTACAAGACCACATACCTCCTCTATTAAGACAAATGGAGCTCCATGGAAGTGGAAACTGTTCATCTTTACTTATGTTCTTGTGTCCTCTGAGATTTATGTACATGAAAACAACAAATAATGACCAAACCATTTAAATTCCATCATACTAATGTCTGAAAGCTATGACAAACTGTTGACCTCTAGATGGATTCTGGTGTACATGCTGTCTGAAACACTCACATCGAATGTGGTTTGCTGTTGAGCAAAGAAGCCTGACCATCTCAGAGGAGGTAATCCCGTTAGACGTGGACACACATACAAGATTAGGATGGATGTATTTTTTTCATCACATGCTACATTTCTGATCATTTTGTCCTTTTGTCAATTGAAAAAGAGATGAAAATGCTTCTGGAGTTGGGACATTCTGCCTACTAAGATTTTACCGTGATGACGTCTGATTCAAATCTGCCCCAGTTTGGGAAATACCTGCAGTGTGACCTTCCTGTGCCCCACAGTCACAAGTTTTAAGGGATATCCCTGCATGCAGAGCAAAAGACTAAATAATCCCACAAACATCCAGGATGTCTTTTTTATCTGTTTGCCTTCAGGCTTGTCCTGGGATCACTTGCTGTAAAATGACAAACACACATCAGCTAGAATAAACTCCTCTGTTGTTGTTGTTTTTTTTGTTTTATGGTGGGTTTATCCCTCCTGCTGCAGCATCCACTGGGATTTGACAGGTCTGAACTCTGACTGAGATGACTCTAATTAATCCAAATCCTCCCCAACTCTCCAGCTTTATGCTCATGTATGACGTAACTACGCGCAGTCTCAGTGATGAGCTGCGAAATTGAAACCAAGCACAAAATGTAAATAAGTTACTTTTATAAAAGTTATTTAATTAGCCTAACACGCACACAGCAAGTAACCAAACTACATGTAACAGAGTGACACTCACATTTTCTTGAACTGGCATTGTCTTGCTGTTTGAATTAAATTATTATTATTATTATTATTATTGAGAAAAACCTTTTGATGAAAGGGCTTAAGCTTGACATTCATGTAGCCCTATGTATTTCATTTCTAGACTATGATTTGCTATAAGACTTTAAAATGCTCTAATATATTCTTTAAAGGTTTATTTTAATTGGATTATCAGTTAATAGCATGCAACCTATTGCAGTGACATCTTCCTCAGCTACAAGCAGTAGAAGTAAAACAGCTTTCATGACAACAATATTATAATTTATCTCAAGACATAAACCCCCTCATGACCCCTAAAGGCCGTTAAAAGTTAATGAGTTTAATTACCTCCAGTCTGTGAATCTGTGGCGCTCTGCAGCTCGATCAAAGTTTCATCCTTCGCCTTTCCCGTTATTCGTCTCATAGCGGCGGGCGGTGTTATTCTAAAGGCTTCACCTTCTCATGAATGTGGGGGTGAAGGCAGTTGAGGATGCCGCTGTGATCCAGTCCCTTCGATGGAGACTCCACCATGCAGGCATCGGCTGATCACACGCTGGAAATCAATGAGTCCGATTGAGATTGCTGGATGGTAAATGGATCATATTTGCAGTCAAACGCACCCTCGCTGAAGCTGAACCCTGCTGGGCTCCCTGGAGCTACCCGAGAAGACCAGGCACACATAAAGGGGAGTGGCACGGTTTTTTTCCGTCGGCCAAATGGTGTGTCTGTGTGTGTGTGTGTGTGTGTGTGTGTGTGTGTGTGTGTGTGTGTGTGTGTGTGTGTGCGTGTTTTAATGATGTGTGTATGAGAGAGATTAGAAAAATGGGAGTTTTTTTAAAAACCTATTAAGCAGGTATTAAAAGAAAGGATTTTGAGTGATGTTGATGTGGTGAGTCCACTGTGTAAAAGAGCAGCAGGGCGTTTATAGTGAAGAGCAGCAGGTCACCTGCGTGGAAACACGAGGAGCTCACAGTAAGACTAAAGTCTTCAACACGGTGAGGACATCTTGTGGACATTTCCAACACTGCACACATGCACTGGATATATTACTTTAAAATGTTTGGGTTTTTTATGTTTTATGGTGTGACAGGAAAGTATATTTATGATTTTATTTTCATTGAGAGAAATTGGTACCACTTTCCAATAAGCAGCCCTTTATGAATGGTTAACACGTTGTAATTAATGGTTTAATTAATAGTTGAAATTATGAACTGATGTTTTTATTAAGCCATTCTTAATAATAATATTTGGGATGCCAGGTTGTGGCTACTGTTTTTCCTCCTCCAGCGGGACTTTTTAGTTCAGTTCAGTCTTTATTGCCCTGTACTGTGAAAGACTGGGTTGTCATGCTGCAAGCCAGATTCAGAGAACAGATAAATAAATAATTAATAGAAAGAACACACAATAACAATAAAAACAATAAAAACAGTAAGTAAAATCTAATTATCACAGGTAAAAACAGCAAATAATAATGGATAGGGAAAAAATACAGGGGATGTATTTTTGGTACAAAAGGTGCAAATTAGTTGCTGTGTTTTATTTTCTTATTAATATTTATATCTGCAGACACGATGGCTTATTAGAAAGTGAGAAACTGATAAGCATTTATTAAAGTCTCGTCAGCAAGAGCTTTTTCACAACCCAAAGTCGATCTCATTTGTGGCTTATAACTGATCAATAAAGCATTAAAGTAAATCATTTATTAATTATTAATAAAGCCAATGTATAAACAGCCTTTATAGATGGTGGCTTATGATATGATATATGATGAAGTGGTATTGAGAATTTAACCTCTATTGTCCAGATGTTTATAACATCTGTAAAATCTAATGACACCCAATACAACAGGTAAGGTGTTATAGTTTTATCTTTCCCATTCAAGTAATGGGTGGTCGGTAAACAAGAGTATATGGCAATCCAATACAACTACACCACAAACTGCAGCCTCAAAAATGGATCAATACACGTTATAAGCTTAAAAATGATGGCACTGTTATTGATTGGATTCAATACTGTGTATCATTCATCTTATTGTATATTATTATATTCCCTCTTCATAACCTTGCACCTACACACTTATATATCACTACTTATATTTTGCTTACAACATCTCAAAAGATGTATTTATTTTTTTTAAATCACCATTCTCAGCATAAAGTCTCTCAGAACAGCTTTGGGATTTCACTGACCAACTCAACAACTCACAAACCACACTGTACCAATTACCAGAGGTTAATGGGATGGCTGGCCTTTCTGGTTTGAAATGGCCCTCTCAGCAGATTAAACAAATACCAATGATGGCCTTAATTGGTGTACACTGTCTTCAACTAAAGTCACAGCTGCTGTTTTCAGCTGATCCTGAAGCTCTCTTTATGACTTAATGGAAGCCCTGGTCACAAATCCCACACTCCCCGAATAATAAGCCAGGAGTGAAAACTATTGCAAAAAAAAACATGTTAAATCTCCCTATTATCTTCGAGCCTCACTCAGGGGAGTGGAAGAAGTACTCAGATCCTTTAATAAGGTAAAGGTACCAGTACAGCAATATAAAAATATGATAAAAACCCTTATTTCAAAATGCTCAGGTACTCATAATGAAGAAAAATGGCCCCTGTTAGTTATATAGGTATTATTATAAAGCCTAAGACATTATGAGAAAACTATTGCTCCATTGTGTGAGCAGTATTTGAGTTGTTTTAACTACTTTATATAGTTAGTTTAGTCAGATCTTAACTGAGGCTCAGGCAAAATAAATCTGAGGGGTCATGGGGTGATTAATGGAAAGAAGGAAAAAAAAACATCTGCTACTCAATTTATTAGAGGGACCAGTGGCCAATGCTTGGTTTCTGTTCCCGGATAACCTTTTGAACCCAGGTGAGTTGGTCTGTCCCCAGGAAGCCACATTGACACCAGATTTTCCAGACTCCGGAGCAGCCGTTTCTTTTCCACATGGACACTGTTTTTTTAAAGGTCCAGTGTGTAGGATTTAGTTGGATCAGACAGGAACTAACTGAACACAACTTGCATCTGTATTTGAGAAATCGGGGAGAATGATAAACTACGGTGGCTGCAAAACTGCAAAACATGAAAGCCCCTATCTAGATCCAGTGTTTGGTTTGTCCATTCTGGGCTACTGTAGAAACATAGCGAATTAACATGGCGCACTCCATAGAAGAGGACCCTGCTCCCTTTGTAGATAAAAACTCATTCTAAGGAAAACACAATTATTCTTATTTTCAGGTGATTATACACTAATGAAAACAAATCTATGAATATTATATTCCATTTCTGACAATTGATCTTCCTAAATGTTACACACTCGACCTTTAAGTAGTTTCCCCATTGCAGTGTTGGATAATGTAATAAATTATATATACGTAAAGGAATATTATGTAACTTTTCTACCTTACAATAACAGATTCATTATCATTTTGAACACTGTTGTAATAGGTTGAATGGTTCCTCTGCCAGGCTACAGCTGTACCGCTTTACGGCAGTAAGTCACACACCACCAACTATTCACTAATATTGGTGAAACTGGATCATATTTTATGGAGAAAATGTTTTCTAGTTTTCTTTCTGATGTCCTCAGACTCAACTCTCTGTTTGAAGAGTGTCCTAATGGACCGTGAAGTAACTGCTGCTAAATGTAGCTGCTGTTAGCTAATGCTTGTTAACATAGCCGTACCGCCCGTGGACTGGGTGCTATGGGGGCACCGGGGGACGGTTAGTGTTTGGGGTTTGAGTCCCACAAACCACAGTATGTAGTGTGGCCTAGTAGCTGAAGAGGTGCCAGTTTCACCTCCTGTGCTCTGCCGAGGTGGCCTTGAGCAAGGCCCCTAACCCCTAAACCGCTCCCCGGGTGCCAAGGCTGCCCACTGCTCCTAATGTACATAGTAATGTATATAGGATGGGTCGGATGCAGAGGTCAAGTTTAATTTCATGTATGTAAAATGCTGTAAATGCCTTATAAACTGTGAAAATGACAATAAAAAGACTATACTATCTTTATCTTTATCTTACACGGACAGCACAGGAGCTTTGGGTCGCGGGAGGACAGTGGGACTGATGATTCTTATGTGCACTGCAGTGAGCACTTGTGATGTAAAATCATAAAGTACCTCTGTAGCAGTGTCTACAGTGTGTACTACATCCCACTGTGGCAATGTGACGCACTGGCCCTAGAAACAAAAATGTAAGTAAAGTAAGATTTTTACCTGGATGAAAAAAATCTGAACGCTGTGAGAGAAGACATACTTTTTTTAGATTATGTCACTGTTTAAAAATCTTGTTAGTTAGGACCAAAGAAGAGCCATGTAGTAGACAACAGCTGTCAGGTGCAGATTCCCTGCTGGAGAGCTGCCCAGAAACTCTTCCATTTCCTGGTGTAGAAGCATCTCTAGTCGAAGCACTTCTGAACTGTACCTGGCAGACACTTGAGTCTTCTCCATGTCCCACGGTGTCTTGGTTAGTACAAAGAAGACTTGTTACAAATAGTATTATATGTAATGGGTCAGGTTTATAGCAAAATAACAACATAGAATTCATACTTCAGGACAGAAAAGCATAGATAGTTCCTATTCTATCTGATTATATTAAAATAAAGTAGAAAAATACAGGATATAATGAAAAAATAGAATTAGAGTTGTATGTACACTATATACAGCTTTTATACAGATGTGATTGAGGTAGAATATTGCACAGGTTACAGCAGTTTCTGTTTTTGTTGACAATGTCAATTTCTACTTTATGTTTATTATTGAGGTTGTACTGGAGTACATTATACTGAAAGTTGTTTCTAATATTCTCTCATGTGTGTAAATGGAGTCACCGAAACACTACAAACACCTCTCAGTATAATTCAGTCCAGTTCAAACATGAATAATAACTATGTAGTTAAATTAATACCTCTCTGACTGAACATTATTAGCTTTGGCAGAAGGCAGACTTTAAGGCAGTTCTGTTGTATTGGATCACATTATTTGTATAGGTATATAAGTATAGCATTAAGAGACTAATGAGCATATAATGGCAGAATATTTTTTTTGTTTGTTTTTGTTGTTTTTTGTTGAAATCCGACATACCTGTTTTGTCCACTAGGGGGAGTTCGAGTACAGTTAAACAACCGCTGCTTTGTTGTAATTGAGTGTTCGAGGTCCTCCTTGTTTATTTATCACATCGGGTTCACATGTGCCGAACCGTCAGCTTTAAATAAAACACATCCACTTTACAGAATTCAATTATCTGTTTTTATTTCCTTCATGAAACTGAATTAAATTACACTGACAGCTGCCATGTGTTCAGTGTGGACAAAATGCTTTATGATTGCTGTTTTTTGTGTTTGTTTCATTATATATGTTAAATATAATAGAAGAAAGATTTGTTTGACTTCACTAGAAACCTCACACGTTATAGTCTCGGTTAATTCATCCGGACTATTTATCAGCAGTCTATTATTAGTCGACATCATAGTTCTGTTATTGTGGCCATTGATGTCACTTATATTATTAATTAGGGTATTTTGATTAAGATTGTTCACTATTATTAGCAGTATTGCAGTTATATTGTGGGAGACCTACTGCTAGTATATAATAAGTCAGAATTCATTCAGTTTTTGGTCTGGTTTCTCATGCGTTGGGAGCGAAGCAGTCAGCAGTCGGCTCTTTTGTTCCGAGAGCAGATTCAGCGTGTGTGTGTGTGTGTGTGTGAGAGAGAGAGAGAGAGAGAGAGAGAGAGAGAGAGAGAGAGAGACTGTCTTTGGGATACAGCAGAGTCAGTGAGGAGGAGAGAGAGAGCGGGATGCTGACAGATTCCTGATAGATGGTTAAAATGGCGAGAGCTTGTTCGACCACAGCGAGCCACCAAACTGTAGCACTGTAGGTCGGAACATGTAGTAGCTGAAGCTGGATATCTCTCTCTCTCTCTCTCTTTCTCTCTCTCTCTCTCTCTCTGTGGATTGTTTTGGTTTTTTTTACCTTTCGTCTATTCGCCTCACGTTGTCTTCTGCAAGTGCTGGAATATTTTCTATAAGTGTTTAAATGGCATCCACAAGGCGCCGCCGCCTTGTTCCATGCTTTTTGGGAATACTCCTAAATGCTTTAATCGGTAAGTGGCGTTATCTTATTAACCGGGTAGAGAGTAGTGCTGCAGGATGTGAGAGCTTTTGTAGAGGACTGCTGTTCCCTGGAGCATGCTGCATGCTGCATGTAGCGATAAGTGCGCTGCTGACCAGTAACCCTGAACTTGGCCCCTCTCCGGTGTCCGTTAGTGTTTCGGCAGTAAATGCCAATGTAAAGCCCGGTGCTGGAGCCGTGTGCACTGCGGAAGTTGTACCTGGAGGATACATAGGAATACCAAACTATAAGAGTGCACATATATAAGTGTTTTAAAGTTATATCTGTGCATTCTGCATGACTAAAACTAGATCTAACTGGCTACTGGCAGTGTTTAGGACACAATTCATACATGCACAATATGTTCAAAATCTATATTAAGCACTTGGATGTGCATGCAGCGCCGTGATAATACACCGCATCCACGTGCAATGTACTATCTGGGTTGTTTTCATTTATTTTCATAAGAACAGATGAGAAGAATGTAAAGAATGTCCTACTGAAAGGTATCCAATGGATGCATTGAAAAAGTCATTTTGCTGTTAGAATAGCTGGGAATTGTGCAGGAAACTCTTAGTGGTCCGGTATTTCATCAGTAGTACTTTGTTTTTTTTAATCAGGTGTTCCAGTAATACAGGACTGCAGAGTTAGAGCCACTTTCCTCATGTTATTGTTAATCACATGGTCTTAATATTACAAAACTCAGCACTGAAAGATGAATTAGGAGCAAATGCATTAATACTTAAATAAAAGTGTATTAAACGAGATAGATATTGTGGTTTTTACAGGCTTAAGGGCTTTTGAATTGCAATGCACTGTTGCCGGTGTCTCTTAAAAGTGACCGAAATGTCCTACTACATAACTCTTCAAGCTAACTTTAAAAAGTGACACATTTTCACAAGTAGATGGAGTTTAATGTCATATCAGGGGACTTCTAAAGTCAATAGAGTTCTTGACTGGTCAGTACAGCTCACTACCCCACGGCTGCGTGAGATGACAGTGGTTATTGCTCTGGGGATAGATTAAAAGACTGTGGTTATTGCCTGCTGGGGAGAATATTTGTACAGATTAAATGTCAAGACTGTCCCTCTCGTCCTTTTCAAATTTTCTTTTTTTTGGCCCTTTGTTCACTATGATAGACAGTTTCTCTCTCTATGTGAGGCCCTTTAATTCAAAGGCAGGATAGAGTATTGAGTATTTGCAAAGCATACCACACAGAGACCCACAAAGCCCCCCACTGGAATCATAAAGGCTAGTACACAGTGGTTCATAACATGTTCAGTCAGAGGACTGGGAACAAAAACTTCAGAAACAAAGCTGTGTGATGGATGTAGTTCCAATTTACCCATCACATTACAGAAATGAAGCTCTTTCAAGCACTTGTCAGCCTCAAAGATTAGATTCAGTTTAGATAAAAGCATTTCTTATGACATTTAAAGCAGAGTTGATAGGAGTGAAAGAAGCAATAAGAAGAGCATCAGCATTAGATCTCTTATGGTCTGAAGAGCTCAGACTCTGAGGTCAAATGCAATAGATCATTCAGAAGATCTCATGATGCAATAACTTTGGTTCATCAAAGCGTAATTGTTTGCTTTGAATGGATTAGCTTGTGTCTTTACAGCTCAGTAAAAAAGGACAGTATGAATATTATGTTAAAGCAAAGAAAAATGTAGAGAACTTTCACCTAACCTCATCATTTTTTGTGCTCCTGTTTACATTCATACAAGTATAAGCTCATTTATTTTAGAAACTACTAGAATGTATTTGGCTTATCACCATTAGGGTTAGGGTTTTGTTAAATATGTCAAAAATACTGCAGGTGAATTCTTCTGTGAGGGAAGCATAGTAGAGAAAATGCTTAAGAGAGGTGAATTGTGCAACATCTGCCCTACATCTGCTATCAAGACAACACATGGACCATTTTTCAGTATTCTTGTGTTGCATTTTACTGCAGTAGCCTATATCACTGATGCTTTTTGTGTAATCATCACTGAGCTGCTGGAAACTTCATGCTCATAAGTATTAAGGTAGTTAGAAAAGAAGAGTATTGATTAATAATTTATCAAACAGAAGCCTATAGGAGGGAATTATCAATGTATACATAGTCTTCCCCCGCTGGAAATAGAATAAATATTGCCTTTTAACAAAAAAATTAAATAACTAATTCAATAAACAATATCATATAATAAAACTCATATAATGTATGAAAAAGAAATTGAGCTGTTCTGTGGGGGCTCTTTTTAATAGTTAATGTATACTGGTGACTCTCATCCATGTTTCATCTATCCACATATACTTGATCTGAATGTAAATACATGACTATTGCCGTGCATGCTGGCAGACGCCTTTCGAAGGAATAGTTAATACGTTTTTTATGTCTATTCCAATTTAGTACTCTTCGAAGTGGAAATGCTGCTTCTGCTTTTCATCTACTGTTCAGTGAAATTAATGGAGGATAAACTCACAATTCTTGTCCGGTGCACAAAACATTATTCCACATTTCAAACAAACTGAACATGACGCTGCAGCAGTCTGTCACGGCAAGTTAAACTAGTCATTGAAGAATATGTTGTAGGCCTATTTATTGTTATGGTGAATAACAATGTATGCCCATGAGCTGCAACAGATGGATGCTGAAGGAGTAAGGAGAGACAGCAAAGTAATGTAGCAATAATAAATTACTCTAACTCTATTACTCTGGATTATATACATAAATAAATGAATTATGTATCATTTATAAGGTACTAATTCTAAATATAATACATTCCTAAGCAGTTTTTACATCCGGCTATCATAAGATGTGATGCCAAGCAGCTGTGTTGCTCACGCTGCTGCCTGTAAGAAGCCTGTGGTGTGTCCTAAGCTCACTTAGCTCCATCAGCAGTGCTTGTGTCTGCTAACTACATCTGTCCGTCAGTAGCTGGCGTGTGATCCTCACTTTACTGTTGCGGCAGTAAACCTTTGTGCCAGCCAGCCACACTTATCTGTCAATAGTAAGCCAGAGCATGAGCCACACTTAGCCAACACTTGTCTCTGGTCTCACCCAGTAATCCTACATGCCAGTGTCTCTTTCCTCCGTGTGGAACAAGCATTAGGGTGTGTGTGTGTGTGTGTGTCTGTCTCCTTATCTTACCATGAAAATCCACGCCTGTATAGACTCATGTCAGTGAACATGTGTTTTTGTGGATAGGCATGTTCTTGCCACCAGTTTATACAGCTGTGCTCTCTTCTCTCTGCACACCGTCTGGGTGATAAACTAAACTTTACCCACATAAAGTGAAAAATGTGTCTCTTATCTCCTTTGTCTAATTGGAGTGTTGTCTTCAAAATGATTTTCTCTTACCCTTTTCACGCTGTTGTTTGTAACCTTCTTACCCACCCAGAGCTCAGGATTGCATTAACCAGTCACTCCGCCAACATCCTTTATTCGTTAGGAAAGCCAAATACCAAGAATCTTCAAATTGATCTAACTAATGGAAGAAACTCTGATTAATTGAAGTCATGAGGAAGTATATACAACATCAATAAAGCTGTTTAATCAACTCCAAATCAATGACATTATAATATATTAAACACTGAACTGTTATTATCCTGTTTGCTGCTAGGCTTGATAACGTTGACTTATGTCATTTGACAGTCAGTCCATAAAGAGGAAATTTTATTTTAATGCTTTCACATGATTTGTCCAGAAGCATTTTGCTCAGTATATAATACTTGCTTTACTCTGAGAATTATCCATGTTTTGATCACATCATGAAGTGCGACTGACTGGATGTGCAGCTGCAGGCTCTTTTTATGCTATTTTTTCTCTGCTTTTTGCTTCCTGTGTGAATACATGTGATCTTTGTTGGACCAAGGGAGATGGAGCTCAATGGGCAGCATCATTTCCGAGAGTAGCTGCCCAGGCAGCGGGATCACTGCCTGCCAGCTAAGGGTTAAATATTTCTCCACCACCACCCCCTTGTTTTTCACAAGTGGTAGCACTGATGTCTCTCTGGTCCCATGGCCATTTACTTACCGTGCTTGTTGAGTGAAAAAAAAGGGGATGGGGGGGGGGGCACATACAGAAAGAATACAGAGCAAAAGGAGAGGAAGAGGAAATGTTTCTTTGCATTATACTCCATATGTGATCTTCATGGAGGAGTGTGTCAATGAATTCCTTGTCTGCACCTAAGGGGAAGTATTTCTCGGCTGGAATTTGAGGGATGAAGCCGGAGGTTCTCTGTTTTGACCCTTGTGCTTTGCTCCCCCTCTACTGCCCACCCCTAGCCCCCCTCGCACCAGATTCCAGGGCCTGGGGCAGAGACTGGTAGTGCTTAGTCCATCAGCAGCTGAAACATGATACCAAGAGAGCTTGCTAAGCTCCTCTTTTATAGTACCAAGTCAGGTCAGGTTGTTTACATCCTTTATTTATTGTTCTCCGACTCCCCCCCTTTACCCTCAGAAACCACAAATATAAAAAAAAAATCAAATCCCCACACCATTATAAAGCTGTGGTAGCTAGTGGTAAAGAAGAAGAAATGAGCACAGCTATCACAGTGACAAAGTTGCTGCCACCAGTTAACTGATACAGCACATACAAGGCTGTGCATGTACGTTTATATAGTACAGGAGTACACATGCTCAATCTATAGCCTATTAAATCCCTTGTGACTGTAGCCTGGAGGTTGCTCACTCAAGGCTTTCTATCTGTGAGCTGTAAGGCCTGGTGAGCAACAGTCGAAAATATGAGATAGGGAGCATTCTTCCTGTTTGTTTAGATGCGAAGGTTAGAAGCAGGAAAAATGGGCAGCGTGAGGATTTGAGCAGCATTGACAAGGGCCCACCTGGGACCCTGGTGGTCATAATGTTATGGCTGATAGGTGTATATTTTATTTAGGCCACAACTGTTGCAGAACCTTATGACCATGGATAGTAATAAGAAGGTATGGTAAAGGAATTAATGGGATAGATTTGTGTTTTTTTTGTGTTGTAAGTAAAATAATCAAAATAAAAGACAGACAGGATGCCTCCGCCAAACACTACAGCCTAATGAGAACAAATATAGATCACATAAACCCTATTTTAGCATATTTACAGTGGCCTACAGATGATGCATTGTTTTTTAAAGACTTAACACTTAGGGAGGGAGAAGGTCCTATTTCACGACGGCTGCCATGTAGAACCACCTTGTTCCTACAGTAGCCTAGAACAAACAACCTAAACACTGGCTTTATATTGGGCCTTCCACGTTTTGTGGCTACTGTGCTTTCTCCTACATGCTTGGAACGGGCGGGTGAGCCAAGGGGGTTGGAAGCTCCAACTACACTGCTAGATGCCATTAAATCCTACACACTGGTTCTTCAATATTTTACTCATTAATTTTAAAGCACTCCTTGGTCTGGCTCCTGCATACGTTTCTTCACTCATCCTCAGATCTTGCAACAAAACTAGGCTAGAAATATTACTTATATTTATATGGGGGGTAATTCATGCTTTTATCGGAGAGTGACAGTGGAGAGAGATGGCAGGAAATGAGGGAGAGATAGCGAGAGGAGCAACACAAGTCCTCAGCCAAACCAGGTATGTTGTGGGTCATGGTCGGCATCTTAACCCCTAATGCAGGAGGGCGCTTCTATACAGAAAAGGAAAAAAATCCATATTTTTCTGCAGCTATAAAGGAGTTTGACCATTACTTAGCAAACTCCATTTGTTGAGGAAAACTATTAGATGAAAAATGGATGATTATGTAAATAATGGGCTTTCAGATTCATTTATGTGTGTGTGTCTCTTCAGGTGTGATCTGCGAAGCGGAGCTCTCCTTCACACTGGAGCCCAGTGACATTATCGCTGTACAGGAGCAGCCCCTCATGCTCCACTGCCAGGTGAACGGCATCCCCCCAATTACGACACAGTGGAGGCACAACGGCATGCTTTTAACTCAGGATCAGCATCACACCACCTTCATCAATGGCTCACTCCTGATTGGCCACTTCCAGAAGACGAAATCTGATGGCTCATCTGACGAGGGCGACTACGAGTGTGTGGCCCAGAATTCTTTTGGGCTGGTGGTGAGCCGCAAGGCCCGTATTCAGGCAGCCAGTAAGTCTCTTCTTTTGTCTAATAGTGATGTACCTGTGCTTTTATAGGGAGAACAAGAGGTTATTGTTCTATACCGTTATTCCATGAATTCACGCTAAACCCAGTTAAAAGGAGGGTTGGACATTTTGGGAAATACACTTTGTTGTTAAGTAGTTGAGATCAATTTCACTGTTAGTTCAAGATGCACCTGATTACCTTAGCTCAGTATAAAGAAAGGAAACAGGGGTTAAAGCCTAGCCTGGCTCTGTCCAAAGGTAACAAAATCTGCCTGGAGTCTCCACTGGTTGCCTGGCAACCACATACTGACAACAAGTTTAGGAAGTCACTGTGCCGAGAGTTGAGCACATAAAACCACATAAACTTCTCATCTAACTCTAATTTAGGAAATATCTGTTTTTAACTTAATGCAGCTTTTTCAACCTGTGTGTTAGTCACCAGATAAACAGTATAACCAACAGCCTGGAGGCCAAGAGAACCTGTAATTGGCAGTGGTTTTGATCCAGAAACTGCAACCACAGCCACATACTTATGTTTGATTAAGTTTTGATCTGTGTTCCCTGCGAATGTAAACATAATAATTGAAATATCGTCTTAATTAATCACATTTCAGCCCAGTCTCACTCCGTCATTGGGGTATTGCAGTGCTGTGAATGGACTTAATATCCCCGGCTGTGGAGTCATTTGAAGACTTTAATATCATTCTTTCAGTCTAATGAACCTTTTGAGTTTAGCTTTAACAAGTGCTCATGCTGAGAGTCTGCTTTGTAAGAGTGCAATAAGCTTGACGTAACCCAGCAGCCCACTCACTGGTGGAGGCATCAAGTTAGATTTTCTCTGGCCTGACCACCAAATCTGTTATCTGAAGTCCTTCTAGTTCAACAGTAAGTTTGCAGTGTTGTTGCCATGGTTTATTTACAACATTCTCATCATATCATAGTGAGACAATCTGACTCTCTGTACTTCAATCTTCTCTTTTCTCTCACACACAAAGAGTGCATGTCTCAGCTTACTTTAAATCAAAGGCATCAAGGATCTGTGCATTCCTCTGTGGACACGCTGAGATGTTGCAGCAGCAGCTTTAGTGATACTGTACCGTTTCCCATTGTGCTGAGTTAAGACTTTTTGAATGCCCGGTTATATGTATTCTGTAACACAAAGATAGACAAAGGCTTGCAGAAGCCTGTTGATTCCTGGGCTGTGTGTAGACAGCGTACTGCTGTGCTGTTGTGACCAATACAGCTTTTCCACTCAGTGGGATAGGGAGGTAAGCATGGACGTCTGACTGGCCGAAGGGAAAAGTCACTTCAGCTCAGTGGCTGGCTCTGTCAAACACATGCAACCTTTAAGACCTCCCCAAAGGGTCAGATTGTAGCCTCTATTTTAACACATTTATTCTTCTGCATCAGGGCAAGGTCATCAAATTTGGTATCCCGATTTTTTTATTTTATTTCACAGCATTAGTTTGACATAATGGTAAGAAACCATGAGGAAAATGAATATCCATAGATTTATGAAGACAGAGTTCATCTCTTGATCATGGTGCAGAGAAAACCATAGAATTATCCCTACGATTTGTATTGCAGCAATGTGTATTATTATTTATAGCTTCAATATCTGGTAGCATCCACATGTGATTCAAGCTTGAAGTTTTAGCTTCGTATTTTCCTGGAATCTTCAATGAAACATTGGCAAACAGTTTGATTGCCAGATAGATTGTCATATGCTTTGAGGTGCAACTGTAATTGTACACTATATTTTTGTAAGTATAGCTGGTTTACACTTGCCTCAAAAATAGATTATTGGTGTGTTTCTAAGGAAATTTCTGCATATTTTTGTGTGAATAGTGTAGTACAGTGAGAGTTTGTCATGCTCTGAATTTTGAAAAATAATTAGTTGAATACATTGATAAAAGTGCATTTGTACAGAATTGTAATCCTCTAGTTCTCTTTTCACATACCCAACCACAAACCATGCAACATTGTCCCTCACTCATCTGTTCCACCTGTCATTGAAATTTGTTGTAATGGTTGGAAATAATTACATATTTTATGGCGTTGCAGCATAATGTCAAATTGTGCCTCACAAATTAATTGATTTGATCTTTGAGCAGATTCATCTTTTTTAATTCAAGGGGTTCAATACTGTATGAGCATGATATATTAAGAATTATGCAAGTGTAGAGCAATCCACTGTCACTCATCTGTTTCTGAAAAATTTAATGTGGAATGTGATGTGAATACAGATTTGATCTCGGTGAATGAACCTGACCCGGAGCACACGTCAAGTTCAAAATCATTTATGTTGGAAATATTCTGTTTTGTCCAGGCTTTGCTCTCCTGCAGACCTCTTCCTGGTTTTCCTCTTGGGTTTTATTGATTGGGAAGGAACTGAAAAATTACTGAAAGTCACATTCGTGCCCCTAACCTCTGACCTTTTGAAATGTGTTGAGGAGGCTTTTGGAGAGGCTTTGAAAGAGTAAAGACTCTGCTATAATGATGCTCTGTCCCTCCTTAATGGAGTCTCACTTCTATCAAGACAGCAAGAAGCCATCAGTGTGAAAATAATCCTCCAGAGACCCTTTAAAGAGACTCAGAAGATAGGAACCTCTTTCTATAAAATGTCCCCATTTTACCCATAATTCTCCACTAATATTCTGTATTTTGTACGATTTGCCATAAAACAGTAATGATGGCATTTCTCTCTGGATTTGACCATGTTTTGAGTTTTTGGATTGTTTTGCCTTATATGAAAAATGCCTGAGTTATTTTAAAAGTCAGATAAGTGAGCCGTTTATTGCACCATTAGTTGTGGTAGTTTATTTCCACCATTCATAAGTAGGCATAATGGCTTTCTTTTGTATCTGTTCTGGCTTTATGGATGGATTTTATATTGTACATTCAGAAAAATCATATTCATCCTTCAGAGCTCAGCCTCTTGCACTCTGCAGCCTCCAGGTTCATGCAGGCGCCTGTTCAGTGCTCCCCTGTTGATCAAGCTTCAATTTGTCAAACTATTATGTTTTAGGTCTTTAATATGAGGTCTTAAAGGAGCTCAATCTTTGAGGTGAAGTATATTCTACAGGGGTTTGGACAATCACCGGTCCATTTCATCCTGTTCTGCGCTGGGCATAAATAATTTAGGATTAAGTGTTTTCATATTGTTTATGAAGAGAAATGGCCCAAAACAAGTAAATGCTCCCCTTACAAAGATCAGTGACTAGTGTTTGTTTTTTTTTCTGTTCAAGTGTTTGTTAATGTTGATGCTCTCTTTGTGTTTTTGAGGTAATTTGCTGTGTTATAGCCCCTCTTACAACAGAGCTCTGACTTGTACCACTGTGATGCAATGGGTGGTGTGATTATTGAAGCCTCTTTATAGCCCTCCCAGTGGATAAAGCCTCCATCTTACCCTCCACACTACCTCCCTCAATAAATTTCACTTTTTATTTGCTTGACAACCGTTTGTGTGAGCTCACTGTCGGGGGCTGGTGTAGGACGGACTCCCTGTTGCCCCTCTAAATTGTCAGTTGGTCCAAGAAACTCTTTTTTCCTCCTAAATGTTATCTCTTTGATGGTCAGTTTCTCTCTCTGTCTCTCTCGCTCTCTCTTTCCTCAGTTTCTCTTGGAGCTCCTCATTAGCTTACGTTCAGGAAGCTTTTCATCATTTGGGTGAATGACAAGCCTGGTACAGTGGACCCGGCCAGAGTCCTGCCCCTCCCCCACAGCACACCCGCGTCACCAGGCAACACCACAAAAGCCCCCCTGTTACAAAATAGCTTTTAGGATCAATTGAAATGACTTGCTTTTGTCTGTTTGTCTGGAATTAATTGGAAAGAGTTGACGCTTTGTTAGGAAATAATTTATTTTTTTCCCCAGTTCCATTCATATGGGGGGACTGCAATTGACCTCAGGGAGCCTTCGAAAAGATTTGCAAACACAACATGAAGTGTGCTGAGAAAAGGCAAAGTCAGTGCAAACATGAGTAGAGTGAAAACACAAATTGTAAAAGATGCAATAAGCGCAAGCATAATAAGTGTGCTTTATATGTGGTATTTATTTTATAGACTGCTTTAGTATAGATATAGAGGCCTTGGCTGCTGGGTAATAATTTTCACATAGTTCAATTTTGAGATCGTCACAGTGAATTGTGCTGCCGTTATAATGGGTTAGACTTCTGAATCCCTATTCGCACGGGATTAGTATTACCTGGGGACCTCTAGTAATTTGTAATAATTGCGGAGGTCGTCTATGATCTTAATCCCGTGCGAATCTGCCATGTCCGTAATTTGTAAAGTAAAAACTCCACCCCAAATTACTTTCCATATTTCGCCAAACACAGAGGTCATGTGATAATATCAGTCCCATACGAATCGTTTTTTTGGTTTTTTTGAAGGGTTTTTGTGTTTTCCGCACCTTTTTTCTGCCTTTTTCCCGGTCGAGAATTATGGAGGCTGCGTTAGAGGTACAGGTAGCCCCTGTACAGACAGGCACCAGAGCAAGAGGTCTTTGTAAATACTTTCCCAAACTGTGTGGTTGTGCACCATTTGATCAAATTGCTTTTGGTAATGTGGTTCACCCCACACAGCAGTTAAACTAAGCGTCTCTTTGCGCGTCCAATGCCGGGTTTTTTTCCTTGTCACCCAAGAAGCGGATGTTACGCATAGGTTACGCAGAGCCTTGACATCATATCCGGGGGATAATGTCAGAACATTTGAGTTAAAACACAGACTTCGCTTATCCCGTGCAAATGTGCCGCACAAAACAAAGACGTGGTGGGGTAATTACTAAATCACATGAGGTACCCAGGTAATACTAGTCCCGTGCGAATAGGGTTACTTTACTAAAAAAGAGGAACCCAGTTTGCTGTAAAGGATACAACGAGAGAAGACAGAGGATGCCTGTAAAAATGTCTCACCCAGGCCTCTCATTTGTTTGAATTTAACTCTTTTCAGGGGTGTAAATGTAAATAAGTGTGATGTCGACCAGGCAGAGTCTGGTAGAAAC